TGATAGGCCAAGGGGCGGGAGCTAACCAATCAGAGCAGACTGGGCTGTGGTTTCAGACAGAGGGTGTGCTGCAGCACAAGCAGTATGAGAATATAAAGACCTTTTTGAACATTAAAGCATGGAGACATGTCACAGCAGAGGCACAAAACACAAATCTGAATCTGAAAATGAGAATACTATGTCTACTTGAAGATCACCTGAACCTGAATCAATAGCTTAACTCTAACTTGACTTTGTTCAATAAAACTGCAGGGATTCTGAAATAGTTTCACACATGTCACAAACCACTTTTTATGTTTCCATTTGACTTCATCAGTACTGAATTGGCAACACTAAATGTGCTTAGAGTAAGAAAACAAGTAAGTGAAATGTATGGTTGTGTAAGTAAACTATTTAACAGCTTCTCGTGGTGAACTGAAGGATCCCTGGACATCATGGACTCGGTTTGAGAGCCGCAGCGCGCTCCAGAAGTCTTCCTCCCCGCCTGCACTGCCAGTAATTAAACATTTCTGAGCCAGATGGTCATGAATTTTTCACCCTTTCTCCTGGCAAAGATTAGTGTTTGACTTGACTTATCAGCATAGGGAAACACACATTAGCTGTTTATAACAACAAGTAGCCTAAGACTTGGAAATAAAAAAGCTTGTCTTTAAAAAAAAACATTTACATTTCAAATGAAGATATCCTTCATCCAAAACCCTTGTTGGTTACATGCTGAAGTTGTAGCTTTCAACAAAGTATTATCACCACATGGAGTTATTAATATAATTTCATGGCAACAATATTAGTTTGAGGAGTAATTTGCGTTTGTTCAAAACTGGTTTGATACAGTTACAACTGTGTGCTGAGAGGAGTTAAATTATTTATCAGAGTAATGTGACAGTTGATAGCATTGTCGAACCTATTCATTTCTCGTTCATGCTCATTTCAAAGAAAAAACCTTTAAGGATGTATTGGGGAACTTAGTTATATCTGTTCTCGTTGTTAACAAGCAGAAACTCCAGGTCTGAAAAGTGAACACGTGAGGAAGTGCCTTAAACTGCATTGTTTTGAATAGCCAGCAGGAGGCGGTTGCTCTGGTAACATAAACAGTCTGATTTTATAGAAGTCTATGAGAAAATTACCCTATGTCCTACTTGATTTATTACATTCATTTAAATGTTCCTGATGAAATGCTGGTCTCATTGTATAGTTGCAAGACTTTTTCCAATCCAGCATGATGTCCGTATTGTAAATTAAGCTTAATTTTAGAGTAAAATGGAAAATAAATTAGTGTGCAAGTGCATTGCTTCCCTTTTCAGTGCGTTTCACTTTGTGAAAGTTAATTGTGACACTGTGGTTGCCTAAAAAAACGTTTTCAGCGTTTGGTTGTACTTATATCCATCTTCTCGTGTCATTTCTGTCTACAAAAAAATGAACAAGATGGCAATTTGCTAAATGCCAAAATGTATACGTTCTTATGGTTGTAAAAGTAGGTGATAAAATGCTAAGTGTACTGTAGTTGCACTAATGCACACAATTTACTCCTGGGAGGCAAAACTATACTGGAGGCAAAAAGAAACAGCTGAATATTTGGCTGAATCAAATCTCCGTCATCAAAACGGTTGAGAAAAGTGAAATATCTAGCAAGCCAGAAAGGCAACCAATACAATTATGTGAAAACAATCTGGGTGTCATTGAGGGACAATTTACCTTAAAATCTATTTAGTTTGGTTAGGTATACTTAGAGAGTTTTCCAAAACGTATTTTACAAATGATACACAACAATCAAAACTGTACTCACGCACAAACATCTGCACCAGTCACAATACAGCTTGGTGTACATGCAATGGCGATCTTAGAGTCAGTGGGGGCCCTAGGCAAACATTCACTGGGGGCACCTCAAACCAGCTTTTAATCACCACGCACAGCCGAAAGCACCCTACCCCCCCCGGAGCGGAGCAGGGCAACAAAACTTAAGATGAGAAGCAGCATTTTACGGAGCGCTATGCATGGGCCCCCTTGAGGGGGTTTCCCAACATGTCGTTGCAGTAAATTAAAGGGTGTTTCATGTTGTCGTTGCTGTGGACCTTCTTAATCTACCTTCTTTGGGGTACGGGGCCACAAGCTGTTGCAGACCTTGCCTGTATGCAAGGAGCGCCCCTGTGTACATGGAATATATTGAGTGATCGTTCAAAAGTTTTAAAAGGTGGATGGAAAGCTATACCACAACTCTGAGAGGTGTGCTTTTGATCGACAGGAGCCCATTCATTATTCAAAGTCTGGTTTCTCCTTTAAATTAAACCACATTATATATTATAATTGGAATATGAAAGCGCCCTAGAAATGCATTAATGTAAAAGAACTCAAAGGCAGTGGGAGTGAGCTTTGTCTACCTATTTTGTACATTAACACATTTATGACTCAATGATGAGTGCCTGATCATCATTTTTTCAGAAAAAAAGAATGAAATGACTCCAGTTTATGTGACATGACTCGACCTCAATTATTCCAAACGTATTTTGCTGTCAACAGTCCAAATATATGGAGTAATGAACTCTCCATGTGAATCATTTGCATGTTCAGATGGTTGTTTGTGGGCAGAGCACCGAGACAAAAGGATAAGTAGCTGCCACATCTTTCTGGGGTGCATCTGTACTAACTGCCTGCATGTAAACCCTTTAATACTCAACACTCTCCGTGGGGCCCTTTTTTCTTAAAACAGCCAACCATGGCGCTAACAAGCCTTAAAAGAACGTTATGAATTATAATTTGAGAACATTATGTGCTAATTTCTCCAGGGGTAATTTTATTATCCAGGCTCTGTGTGAGGCCTTATTGCATTGCTTCCCACACACACACACACACACACACACACACACACACACACACACACACACACACACACACACACACACACACACACACACACACACACACACTCTTGTGGAGTAAAAAGCATAACCTTCCTCAATGTGCTGTGTGTGTGTGTGTGTGTGTGTGTGTGTGTGTGTGTGTGTGTGTGTGTGTNTAATTTTATAACTATATGCTTTATAATTATAACCTTGTCAAAAACTGCATCATTCGACATGTATAAAGTCGGTGATCCCCCCCGTTAATGGTTAATAATATTGTAGCGTGTTCAAGTAACCAAGGGATATAGCAGTTATCACATAAGTATAAGATGTGCACAGTTATGATAAGTTGTACAGTTATGTAATGCACTGTTGTTGGGGGGAGAGACCGCCCCTTCCATCTACGTGTGTGTGTACGGCGGCCATGAGGCGTGCATGACAGGACGAGTTGTGTTCATATGTGGAAAAGTCATACTCAGTGCGGTGAGCGCTGGCTTTATTGCCACTGTATCCGTAGCACCCCACGCAATAGTTGTCCGTAAAAAAGGTTTGCCCCCCCAAGCCCAAATGTCAAACTCCGCCTATGAACTGGACTGTGATATGTGTAGGGAAGGAGAATCAGTGGAGCACGTAGATGTACAGCTGAGAGGAGAGTTGGTGGAGGACATGAGGAGGGGTGACTATAAGGATAACCTTAGAGCAGGGGTCTCCAACCTTTCTTCATTTCAGAGCTACTTTGAAAAAATGAAAGTGGCCAAGAGTTACTTGCATCACATCGCTTACATTTATTCACATAGCACTCATCAGTTGAATTAATATGGACATTGCAGGAAGTAAATTGCTCCGTAAAATGGCAGTAGTGAAGAAGAAGAAGAAGAAGAAGAAGAAGAAGAAGAAGAAAAAGAAAAAGAAGCTGCCACCTGCTGGTGTAGAAACGTTCTGCGCTGTTTTCCCGGCCATTTCCCAGAGCCTCCCCTGTTTTCCATAACAACCGAGGACGCTTCCTCCTGATTGGCTGTTTCTACATCCTGTGTTTTCAGGCCTCGCTAGCAGATGCTATTTTAAACATACTTCCTTCGTAAGCAGTGGATTAACAAGCACCTATAAGAAAACAAGTAAGTCAATAATGGCATACTTGTCATTCGGCGGTTGTTTCAGAGAAGGAATTCAATACACCGATACAAAAAGCCGTTAGCTGTGATAAATGGGTTTTGCTACTGTACAGCTTAGTTGTGAGTGAGCATTAACCATGGTATTGACAGCAGCAGCCTTCAATAACAGACGGCTCGCCGGCGGACAGCTCTTCAGAACAGGCAGCATTCACCGGGGATGGACGTCTGGACGCCATTTCTAATGTTCAGTAAGAATGTTCCTCATGCTTTGTGTAACTGAACATGAGCTGTAGAGACACGTCTTCCTATCACAGGTGTTACTCGAGCTACACGTTAAAAATGTTCTCAATGTTTGAGGATAATGTCATTTTACTGGAAGAACAATAAACTAACCTGACGTTAGGGTGATATGAATGAAATCATCTTCACTGGGAAGAGAGACCCTCACTCCCCCTGCACTGACAGCTTCAGTGATCAAGAGTGTTCAGATCCATTACTTCCAACAATGTACCAACAAGTGCCAGTTTTGGATTTAATACAATATTTCCCTTGAAAAAGCAGTAGGTGGAATATTTCAAAAATGGTCCTTAAGTGCACAATAAGGTGAAAGGTACTGCTGATCATCATACTACATAACCATTACTTACATATTGACATTTGTTAGATGGATAGATAGATAGATAGATACGTTATTGATCCCACATTGGGAGATTATTTAGTTACAGTAGCAGCAGTGTGTTCAGGCATTAAAAAAACTTAAAGTTGGAAAAAAGGTAGACAGCTCTATGAAAGACCAGTATTTTACAGTAGCCGATAAATACATATGATAGAAAGTATTTAAGTAAAGATAGATATGAAAAAACAGATAGATATGACAAATATAAAATGAAAGAAGTGACATTGACTGATTTCATTGATGTGTTAGTTTTAGAAAGTACATTTGGCATTTCACATGGCTGACATACGTCCAGAATATGAGGAATGTGTGTTCTGTTATGATTCAGTAAAGATGTCAGTGCTGTCTGTTCACAGTTTAGCTGCACTGTGTGGATGGAGCACAGCAACCCAGAGTTACTGAGAGACCCTGGAGAGGCAGGGCTGACAGGTGATCACACACACACACACACACACACACACACACACACACACACACACACACACACACACACACACACACACACACACACACACACACACACATAGGCTACTGGTTCAAACACAAAGGAGGAGTAGGACCCATAAAATAAATATCCCTGCAGTCAGCTAAACAGTTACATCATCACTTTACTAAACATGATGGTTCTTTAGGAACTGTGGGACTAACACAAGAAGCATCCTCAGTCTGTTTGCAAAGGTTCCTGACCCCCACGACCCGTTGTCTTGTTGCAGTGCAACATGGCCGTATGTTTGAACCAGACATGTACAGCAGCCCAGCCCCACGGACTTCAGAGAAATGTCCTAAATGCAGATGTCTGTGATGGTGATGCTTTCAACGTGTTGCTCTCTTGGTTTGAAATGTTCTGATGATTGTGTGTTATGTGTGTCTCTTCCTTTCAGACCAGGAGCATTCTGAGGCATCCTGCCTAGAAAAGGAGCAGGTTAGTAATTTTTTGACATGTACTACTTAAAAGATGATGTTTATTACCTTTTATTTTTATTGATATATTATAGTGTTTGTTTATTATATGGTAATAGACATTGTGGGAGGGACCCAGAGGGCAGTATGCCTCAGGCTGCTCATAGATTGGGTCTTCAGTACAGCAGCTGTTTTCAGTGACGCTCTGATGGGTCATGTGACCTGCGCAGCACACCCTCACACACTGGCTCGTGTAAAGGCTTGCTGTGTCACAAAGTCAATCACTATATCAGATAGAATATATCAAGACAATCACAAACTATCAGACAGCTGTTCAGTCCACGTATCTTTATCCACGCTCACTACCCCCCAAACAACAATCATGAGAGCCTTCTGGCACAGACAGCCTGCCTGCTGCCTGCTTTAGTAAGGTAACACAGGGGGAGGAGATGAACTAAGGGTCACTTTGTTGGTGAAGTATTCCTTTAGGAACTAAACTATTTGTCAATATTTGTTTTTGGAATTTGCCCTTTGTGTCTTTCAGACAAGATGCAGTCCCTGCATGGTGACCGAGGATGGAATCACTAATGGTATAGTGCATACATGTTATAGCTGCAGATTGAGCAGTCAGCATGTACATGCATGCTGCTGGAAGGACAGCGGAACAGGATCCAGCAGAAAAATACATATACTCGTTTTGTACACAAAACATTTTTGTACATGCTAAAGTATAATGTTTGATCAGTTAGTCCACAATCAGTCAACACACGTAACCAGGCTAAATTAGCAGCAAATACAATACATGTTCAGCATACTGTGACCTCCGAAAATATGTTCACTCCTCTGCAGGTTCCTGGTCTCAGAGGTCCCTGAGCCGCTCCCTGCAGCGAGCCGAGACCCTGCTCAGAACCTTTAACCCCGGCCTCAAGTGGCTGTTCCAGGGCCGCCAGGATGAGGAGGACATGGAGAGACATTTTGTGGTCGCTCACAATCTGGTGTCCCGGTCCTCTGCTCGCCTCCTGCGTCTGCACCAAGCTGTGGTGACTGTGGCCCCCCAGTGGCAGTCGGTGGGCAGGGAGCAGACAGGGTCTCACCGGGTAAGTTCCAGGGATTGTAGGGAAGTTGAATCTGTGATCACCTAAAATGATTATCTTTAGCACTTTATTTGCAATGATTACTTTCATAGCAGGAATGCAATCTGCACTTCTGTGTTTCTACAAAGTCCAAGCTTTGAACTTGGGGCACCACCCAACCAAAGGGATGGTGAACAATCATTGAATTCAATCTCAACTCTGGAGATTGAGGCTTGACTCTGAACCAGTAACCATGATGCTTCACTCGCACAAACCACCTAATCCATGTCTGTACAAATGGAAGGTTTATTTGGCGACTGAGGCATTAACACTCATACTTAATGTAGGCAAAAATACATGAATGAATGCATGGAGTTCATTATGAACCAGTGAGTACCTCAATAGACAATATAATGACTGAAAGGGTATTTCAAATGAAACAATGAATGAGATGAAACCATGATCAGCTGCTGCCTTGTGTAGACAAAAGCTCTGCTGGAAGACCTTACTTCACATTTCAAAATGCATCATCACTCTCATGCATTGCATCCGTGAAACACATTTGTGGAAAACAAGGTTTCCCCCCAAAACTTTGGACCATAATATAATATCTACGTTCCTTGAAAATATGTAAGACAGCAAGTGTTTAGACCAGACTTGGAAATGATTGTAATTATACAGGTACAATGAGATGAGCAGAGCTACTCCTTTTTGTAAGGTGCCATCAAAAATACAAAAAACCAACAAGAGACGTGAAACATTCAGGAGGAGACAACATACAAACACCGCTGTAACGGTGGTGGACTCATCAGAACATAGTGGGCGAGCTGACCAATCAGAGCACACTGGGCTCACAGGGAGGTGGGGG